GGTGTAAATTATAGAAGGTGTAAGTGAAGAGGCAAATTGTTGTTTGGAAAGAAAAATAAGAGAATGTAAATAGGGTTAATAGAAATAAATAGGCAAAATACACTTGTATAGCCAAAATTTTAGCGTTAAGTCTGATTGGATAAACGAAAGTGCTGACCTGGCGAGCACTTCCGTTCAATTTTTTCTGTCAAAATCCACATGGATTTATTAATTACCTAAGAAAATGAGCCTCCTCCCAAACCCCCCCATCGCCGCCCTTCAAACTCTCCTCCTCCAACCCTTCCACTTCCGTCGCACCAACTCTTCTCCGCCTCCAAAATGACGGCTTCTCCGACATGAAAAAACCCAGCCAAATACAAGGCTCTTCTCCACCCTTCGAGCCTCCTCTCTAATCCTTGTTCTCAGATGAAAAAAACCCAACCAATGACAAGGCTGAAATCGACCAGCCCAAAGCGTCCAACAACCAATCGATCAACATTTCACACTCGCAATTGACGGCGCTCCCTCCGGCATTCTCGATGTCGTCTTCTCCAGCATTCCCTTAGTTGACATTCCCAGCTACAATCGACTTGAGAACTGCAAATGAAGCTTTGAATGGAGGAAGCATGCTGCGGGAGATCTCTAAATATGTCCCCTCTGAAAAATTGAAGAATAGATCGATTGAGGGTGGGGAAGGATGGAGTTTGAGCAGCGGTCGGATTCTGAAGGAGAAGGACTAATATTCCCCTTCTTTGTTGTTTTTGCCTTGTCCTGAGAGCTATGCCTCCTCAACCCTCCGTTCTCGTCGATTTGAACAAAACCACTCTGTTTCTTAGGGAATTCCAGTCGTCATTGATCGCCGACCTTCGCAATCCATCCATTCCTTACAAATGCGAAACCTAGAACCACCGATATCTGCTGGTGGAGAGATGGTTGAGAGAGGAGAGGGAAAGGAGGAGGGAGAGAGGTGTAGTGGAGGAGGAAACAAAGAGAGAGAAGGGATTTTTTTGTTGGGGGTAGAAGGTACTTAGATGAGAGAGACGGAGGACTAGAGGAGGAGTCTTCTGACTCTATTTTTTTTAACCTAAAATATGACGTGACAATTATGTGACATGTGAATGTAGGTGGATATGATGTGTCGTCAGCTGGCAGCCACATAAGCATAATGTTTACTTAAATTAACGGAGTTAGAGACGGTGTTAAGGTATTTGATGGAAATGACTATATTTGTCATACAAGTTCAAAAAATGTGGTTGTAAGTGGTATTTCTACAAATTTGGTTATTATTGGCACAAACGCTAAAGTTTTGGCTATACAAGTGTATATTGCCAAATAAATATAAATCTATCTATTTATAGAATAGAATAAACACTTTCTCCACTTACTTTCACAATTTCAAAATTCCAGCCTTCCTACGCGTCCATGTCAGCAGCCTTCCAATCAGATTTTTTCTTAACACATTTTTTATTTTCATTGTAATTTATATTTTTCCTTCGTAGATCTAACAGTTTAAATTAAAGGAGTGGTGTTTTTATTTTAACTTTTTAGTAATCCAATTAGAAAGTGTCACCTAGCACACACTTTCTCTCTCTCTCTCTCTCTCTCTCTCTCTTATTTTTCAATCCCGTACTATTCTTAATTTATCCATATTTATTTAATTTGAACTCCAAATTTAGATATTTTTGCGCCAAAAAATCAGATTTCATGTGATCTACACAACGATATCCATTTTGATATATGTTTAAAAAAGTTCTAAAACAGAGTCACGATCATATATTCACGAGTCACACTTCTATTGGACGATTACTAAACTATATCAATATCATTCGTTTCTACCTCCATGAAGTACTCATGTACTACCAATGTTCACGGACAAGTTTCTAATATGAGCTACTAAACTATATCAATGTTTAGTTTCGTACTATCATAATAGCAATGCTCAACAATTTCATGAGTGTTAAAACATTGTCGTGAAGTGCAAATTAAATTATATTAAAGAAAAATCATTTTTCTACTGTTCAAGTTTTTTTCAAGCATGCACAAGTCCCTTGAAATTCCCCATTATTCCCTCAAAATTTACACCCTTCATCACATTCCTAAACAAATAGAGGTGACAATTTTTAATCCAATCCACCAACCCAATCCACCAACCCATTAAAAATATCCATCTAATCCAAATCTAATTGGATTGGTGGATTCATGGATCAATCCATGGATCAAATTTGCAAATTACGGTTTGGTACCATACTTTTTATATTTTACATTTTGGTACCTAAAATTTAATTTTTTATACGAAAAATGTCATTGGAAAATTACTTTTTGGTACCTAAAATTTTTCATTACGACATTTTAGTACCTAAACTTTTCACAATTTACATATTGGTCCAAGGTTGAGGATGTCATTTGGATTCATGGATAATCCACCAATCCACTTGATCCAATCCATGAATCCACCAATCCATTGGATCCAATCCATTTGATCCATAAATCCAATCCACGAATCCATGGATCGATCCATTTGCCACCTCTAGTAAGCAATGCCATAAATTGGGCCTATGCTCCAGCAATTTGATCCCGCCCCACGGGTATTATCCGACCTGATCCGCAATGGGGTCGGGTAATGTGGGTATTATCCAACCCGCAGTAGCATGGGGGGCATGAATATCTACTTCCGACCCTGCCCGTCCCATTCTTGTCTCATTCTATCTCAATTTCTAACAGTAGCTATGCATATTTCTCCTATTTTTACTTTTTTTTTCAACTAGCTGGAGTCTATTTTTCAATTTGTTAGACTCAATTACCCATTATACTATCACTATTTTCCATTCATAAAGTGTTTTCCCCTTTATTTTTGTCATAAAAAGTAAATTTAGGTATATTTTTTCAAATAACATGTAAGAGTAGGTCGACCCGCCTCGACCCATACCCGGGCGGGTTTTATCCCAAAATTACACCCCTTCATCACACTCCTAAACAAACTGAGTGTAAGCAATGCCATAAATTGGGCCTATGCTGCTCCTCAGCCGATCCCAACTAGGCAACTAGACCTTTTTAAACAAATAAAAGTCAGCACCCCGTAGGCCTCTGTTTTTTCAGCTCGTTGACCCAGAAAGCCCGGGGACGCTGTCCAATACCGGATCTTAGCCTGCCTGTTCCTCGGCCGAGTGCCGACCTTCCCAAAGCTTGAAAATTGCACCTATTTTCTACCAAATTAAAAATTTGCGCCTGGCCCTTGTTGTGGTTCAACTGGGTTCCATTTGTCAACTGTAAAGCTGATGGTTGGATTAGTTTTGCACAACTGGGCTTTTCCCCTTGTGTTTGTACTTTGTACGCATAGAAGAAGTAAAGAATACAGGCCAATACAAGGTTGAGAATTGAGAGTAACTTTTTTATTTTTATTCTTGGTGTCAATATAAGAGGATACTAGTGAAATGATTTTAATTGGTTAATGTTCTCTTCTTCTTTATGAATCATAAAAATTTTATTGATGAAAATGTAAAAATGGTAGAAATAAGATGAATCCAACTTGACACTCTGTAATCTTTACATAAAATGATAAAAAAGATACCAAGGATGCAACCCAAAAAGTGAAGAATGGAAAATGAGTTACATCAACTCATCAACCGAACATGAGTTCACAACAAACTAGCAATAATGAAACTCTCGCACGAATCATTTGCATTTGTCAAATCTAATTATGTGAACTCATCCATGGAGACACCGAAGGAAGACTTCTAAACTCGACAAACAAAATAGTAAGGTAAATGATCTGCTTTCTCTACCCATACCACATACATAATAAAAATTATGCATTCTCTACAATAAGCTAAATGATCCGCATTCCCAAGTGATTAATGTCAGTATATAGAAATGGCAATTTGAACCCGTCCCATCGGATATTACCCGATCTAATTCGCGACGGGCGAGTATTACTCAACCCATAGTAGAATGGGGCAGGACAGGGTATCTACTTCCAGCCCGCCTTGTCTCGCCCTTCTACCTCAATTTCTTACAACATATAATTCATATTTCTACTATTATGATATTTCTTCAACTAGTTAGACTTGATCTTCCAACTAGTTAGACTCAATTACCTATTCTAATTTCACAATTTTCATTTATCAAGTATTTTTACTTAGTTTTATCGTGAAAAGTAAACTTTAGCGTGTATTTTATCCAAATAAATTGTAATAGTGGGTCGACCCGAGACAATTTGGCCAATTTGAATTACATGCTCCACCTCTAGATAAATGGAATTGTCTCACGACCTGAATTTCCCATACCAAATTGACAAATCTAATTTTTTTTGTTGTCAAACGAGTCAACTTGATCCAATTATCTCAAAACAAAACAAAACAAACATTCATCTATTACAATTACGATAACCCCTTAGTTTGTTGTGAAATAACATGTTAGCATTGTGAAATAATTAAAATGACCTTACAAGCTGTTTGAGCTTTTGAAAGAGAAGGATTTGTTTTAATGTTTTAAAAAGTAAAGTTAAGTTTGGGGGCACACATGAAATTAAAATTTGAAAGTTGAATATGAAAATGATATCTATAACTTAAAAACAATTGGTTATTAAGCGATTTAGAGAATCACAGCGAATATTGGTCTATTGAATAAAAAGGAGTTAGTATTGGTACAAGTAAAAGTTACAACTTACAAGAGATGTGAAGAAGCACGTGAATGGTTAGATTTCAAACCCAAATTATTGATTGATTAGAAATATAAAGGGTTATAAGTATAATAATGCTCTTTTACTATAATGTTTTATCAAACATGCCACTTTATTATTTTTTACATCAAACATGTGTCTATATTTTGGCAAAATTATCAAACATGCCCTTCTGTTAAAATTTTCATTGAAAAAATCGTCAATCATGGTTGAATCGAGATTTAGACGCCCCGACATCTGCAAATGGGAGAGAAAATGCCAGTTTTGTTCCTTGTTTTATTTCGCTGGGTCTCGTCAAAGTGAAATTATTTAGAGTTATTTGGTTATACAAAAGAGCCAAAAAATTTCAAAAGTGAAATTATTAGGATACTTTTGACATTTGTGTCGCCCAAACCAAAGTTCGGCTCTGGTTAAAGGTTTTTGAATGAAAATTTTAACAAAAGGGTATCTTTGATAATTTTCCAATGTATAGGAGCAAGTTTGATGTGAAAAATAATAAAAAAGACATTATGATAAACCACATAGTAGAGTGACATATTATACTTATAACCTAAATATAAAGGTAGCAAGATTCATATATTATCGCTTCCTAATTTTCATATTAAGATAGCTAATTTATGTAAGCATGTCTATCCATACGAATTGTCGAATTGAGATAATTCAATCATGTAAAGTAAAGCTCAGAGCAAGGACTCTTAACAAACGAAACGAAACGAAACGAAACGAAACGAAACGAGACAAATTATAACACTCAACACAACTTGAACTCGACAACTCTGCAACTTAAACTGGAACGGCCGGAATGCTCTGTTCATGCCTAAACAAGTTATGAGGATCGAACTTGGCCTTGATCTTCACCAATCTGCCGAAGTTATTCTTGAAATACCTGCGACCCCAAACATTTGCCTCGCTAAAACTCGTATTGCCCTTCTTGTTCACCCCCAAATCCAGATCCCTGTAGTTCACATACGCAGTCCTCGGCGACTTGGAAACATAGGGAGCCATGTACCTATACAGCTCCCTGATCCAATCCATGTGTCTAGCAGAGCTCACATTCCCGTCAAGCGACGCAGTCAGCCACTGGATCATGAGCAACGTCCCCTTCCGGTGAGGAAACGGCGTCGCCGATTCCGAAATCCTTCCCATCTCCCCGCCAAACGGATTCCATATCGACAATGGAAAGTCCTCCTTGAGAAACCTTCTCCATATCCCTTCAATCGCCTTCTCCGGGATCGGCTCCTTTACGAAGTCCGACTTGGCCTTGAAGAACCCCGCGGCGGCGAAGGACTTCCCCTGTAGGAGGAACTCGGGAGCAACGGTGGCCGGGATCCCTGCAATGAACAGAATAGATTTGATCCAGCTCGTTTCAACGCAATCCTTCTTCGTCAGACCCAGCTCCGGGAATTTTGAACCCATGATCTTGAGAAGCCGATTGGAATTTCCAAGAAACAGAGCGTTGTAGGTTGTTGTGACGGTTCTCTTGGTGGAATTGGCGATCGGGGTAGCCAAAATCAGAACTCGAATGAACAGCTCGTCGTTGAGCAGAGGAGCGACTTGCTGCCATTTGTACAGAAGCTTGGTGGCGTTCTGTTCCAATGTCCTGGGAACATTGAACACCGTCACGGTTTTGGGGACGGTAACCAATTTCAATTTCCAGGCGACAATTACTCCGAAGCTTCCCCCGGCGCCGCCTCTGATCGCCCAGAAAACGTCTTCCCCCATTTTCCGACGGTTCAGGAGGTTCCCGTTGGCGTCGATTATGCGGGCGTCGACGACATTGTCGACTCCCAGGCCGTATTTTCTCATCATGGAGCCGTAAGCTCCGCCGGTGATGTGTCCGCCGATTCCCAAGCTGGTGCAGAGCCCGGCGGGAAAGCCGTGGGTGGGGCTCTTCTGAGCGATCCGGTAGTAAGCCTCGCCGACGGTGGCTCCGGCCTGAACCCAGGTGGTGTTGGAAGCGATGTCGACGTCCACCTTGCGGAACCTGGAGAGGTCGAGAATGAGGAAAGGGGACTCTATCTCGGCGGCGTAAGAGAGGCCCTCGTAGTCGTGGCCGCCGCTGCGAACCCGGAAGTGGAAGCCGAGCTTTCCGGCGCAGATCACGGCGGCTTGGACGTGGGAAATGCGGAGCGGGCGGAAGATGAGAAGCGGCTTGGGGACGGAAGGGAGCAAGTAGCGGAGGTTCTGAGCAGGGTTTGAGAGGACGGAAGTGAAAACAGAGGAATTGGCGGCAGGGGAGAAGAGGGTTTTGGAGAATGGGACTGGGTTCTTGGAGTTATTGTTGAGGCATTGCTGAAAGGCGGATTGCAATGGAATTGGGAGTGAAGATGTGAGGGAAGGTGCGAGGAGAGGGAGGAGGACGAAGAGAAGCAGGGGAGAAGCCATTTTCGTTTCGATTGAAGCTTGTGGGTCTGAATGTGGGAGTGTGGGGGAATTGGGTATTTATGGAGTAACAGAGTGATTGCGTGCACGATCTGAAAGTCAATCTCTTGTCTATGGGAAATAAAGGATCTTGCGGAAGAAATGGTTTAATGTCGATTAGGGTTTATATGTTTGTTTATTCGCAGCGTTATGCGTCAACAGAGATCGTCCAAAAAGAAGCATTTGCGCGCGTTGCAAGTAATCGAACACCAAGTTAGTAATTAGTACACTACAAGGGTTAGCTAGGTGGGCTTTATTTCGTGAAATGTGGTACCAAAATATTGGGACAGCGGGTTTGCTTACAAATATGAAATGTTGTGTAGGAAAAGGGGGCATTTACTATTAAGAGCATTCAAATTTAAAGACATTGTGATTACCTCTTTTCTAGTTGTAATTCAACAAGTAATTATTTTCAAAACATGCTCGTGACTCGTCATACATCTTTGAAAAATGGGAGATCTAAACGAGATATGGATATTAGTTCAAAGCGGAATCTCGCTTATAATAAAGTTTGGCCGAGCAGGTTATATCATTGAGTTTCAGAAGGAAAATGTTGAACTAGAAGGAGAGTATGTTCCACTTGGTTACGTGCCTAAATTACTAGGATGAATGGAGATTCTGTGTGTGGAACTATCGATTTGGAGTACATTGTGGTAGGCAGAAAATCTTCTCATTTGACCTCGTTAAGCACTGATTTATACGAGCAAAGATGAGAACTCCCAAATTTTTTGTAAAAGTTGTCATGCGATTGAAGGAACTGTAACTTATCATTCTTATTTTTCAGTTAATGTGGGAAGTAATAAAATTATTTTCGTAACTCCATATATAATAAACTTTTGACGCGAAATATGATAGAAGAGTATATATATTAACTCCAAACTAATAAGGTTTTGTTCCTTGAAAATACAAAGGTGTGTTTTAAAGTGACCTAAAATAAAGGCTGCAAAGTAGCCATTAGCCCTTAAAATTTCCATATGACCAGAGACTTGCACCAGTTCATCAGAAAATAAAATAAAGTTGACTTGCAGCCTAGGAAGACTTGAGATGGTAGTGCAACGTGGTTCATTAAATTTGTAGCCTAAGGGAGACTTGGAAATCGGTTCTAGACCAATAATCCCGATTATAAAAATTCACTTGATTATAAAAGTTCTAGACCATTATGAAAATTCTGGTATTGGCTATTCCCCAAATTCTTGTTTACTCAGCTTCCCAGCTCAAGTATTGGATATTACCAATTTTGATCTAATTTTTGAACTTATTTAAAAAATAAAACTTGAAAGAATAAAAATCAAAACCGGTAGATGGCAATCAACTCGAAATGATACAGCTGACGAAGTTCTGAATGTAATCATGAGAAATTGATTTGATAATTTTGGATATTTATCGAAGAATTTAAATACTTGGATAAATTCGTTCCACTTCAATTTTCAAACATATATTTTTTATTCAATAGTTACAAAGAAATTTCAATCGGTTCTAAAAGTTCATACATACTACCGAGATAAAAACAAAAAATACATAGAATATAAAAAAATCAAGCATAGGCAAGAACGAAAATTGAGCCCTACCAAATTAGGGAATAAGAAAAGAGTTTCTTGTTACCAAATGAGTAACCATATTACCAAAATGGCCAACAAAACACACCCTAACATGGCAAAAGTAATTCCAAAGTAACTGTATAGAAATATAGGGTTAAACGTAGTTCATTTTCTTTAATTCTTTTTTGTACTAGCATTTTATTCTCAAACTTGTCTATGTATAAAAAACACAAACTTATGGACCATAATGGTAATGCAGACAAAACTCGATAATCTCATCATCCAAGTTCCAACTTGTCATCGTTATTTTTCTCTTCCTTGTGCATATATAGTATCGTCATTTTCGTCTGTCAGTCATCTCTACGAGCCACCCACATGACACAAAAACTATCATATTTTTCTTATTCCATGCCTCTTCACCTTATAGCCGAGCATAATTCAAACCCCACCGAATTCAAGTAACTAGCATGGGTTCACATAGAACATATTCAAAATCCAACCTTTATATATTGTTTGGAAAATAGAGGACGCTAGTAACTTGCATTCTTTTAAAATAGGGGCACAGTTTTGCTTGGCTAGCACGCATCCTTCCCTTCTCTCGCTTTGCTCGAGTGACTTTGGCACCTTGAGGAACGAGTTAGAAGTAGAACCCTAATCCAATCTATCTCACTTTGAGGAGTGAGTTATAAGTAGAACCCTAATCCAATTTATCTACTTGTAAGTACTTCACTTAGCTGTTAAAATACTTACTACAAAGACCTTTTTGTTAAACTTGCATATGTAGTACGGGGGATCTAAAATGGCGTTAATTAACCCTAATTGATGATAACTGTGCTAGTTGCAGCGTGAAACGCTTAAACAAACAAAGCTGGTGGGTTGGTAGCCTTGCATTATCCACGGGTTGACCCTGAAAGCTAGGCGGTTCACGGTAGCGTCCAATGGGCGACGACCTTCCCAAACTAGATGCACTCTTTTCAATATAAGGAACGTGAGTGGTAATTACTAATTAGAGGCCAAATGGCATCCCAATGGCTTCATAATTCGTACCAAATTCAAAGTATATTGAATATTTTCAACGTTCTAAAACGAGTAAAAACAAGCTCCAGTTTAACTAACATTCTGTCCGGCCGATACTTCCATCTAAACGAACAAAGGAGTTTGTTGATTGAAAGCTCAGAGAATGATGCGAACTTACGGGCAGCCGCTTGAAGCGAGGATCATTGGAGGAGGAGGAAGAAGAAGAAGAAGTCAACCCTTGACAACACGGACTTAGCTAAATGATCAAGTCACAGTCGCCAGATTATCCCATCTCCATATATGGTAGTGTAAAGTAGTTTGTCAATTGTCAAATTATTATTAGTATTATTAACCCGCAAGTTTACTTAAGGTTCAATTACTGTTCATTACGACAAAATAGCGGTAACCACATTTTTACTGGAAACTATAACCCTACGGCGCCGTAAGACACAATTTTACCGAAAATAACGACACTTTAGTCGGGGAACACTGTTCATCGCCGGATTATTGAACGATTTAATTCCATGTGGCCGTTTGTAGCGTAATTCCGTGGGAAGGCCCTGGCGGCTGGGCAAGCATCAGGTGAACTTTTCATATCGGGTCATGAAGAGGAGGTGGAGAGAAGGGGAACTGAAGAAGCATGTAGTCACCAATCAGGTCGGAAGTTTATAATCAGTCGCCGACCACCGGAAAACCTTCTCTGGTGCTATGTATTCCCACATGCAAAGAACTGTAACCATAAAAAAAAAAAAGATAAGGAAGTACAATTGCATTTTGTGTGAGACGTCTGCTAATCAAACCGCAAAAAAATGAAGGTAGAAAATACGTCAACAGAACTCAAGCTAATAATAAATCTCTCTCAAGTGGTGGTCGGAGACATTTTCCTAACTATATTCACCTTCTTCGCCCTTTAAATCACAAATGCAAGATGGAAGACCAAGGAGAAAGAGAAATAATGGGAAAGTTGGGATTGGCGGGAAGATAGAGAAGGGATAATGCATAGAGATTGCAGAGCAGCTTGAAAAGGAGGGGAGGGAAGAGAAGGGGAAAGCAAAACCCTCATAATCATAGGTGCTGTCGATTTCGTTTGGGTTGCCATCGCAAAGAAGAATTTGGCCAAGCGGTCGGGGATTGTAAACAGAATCCATTGATGAATGAATAAATGGATATTACTCTTCTTCTTCTTCTGTCTATGCATTTGCATGAGGGACACATGTTCACATATGAAATGATAAAATGCCACCTGTCTATGTCATGACTTGCCTTCAATTTCACCAATTAAGGCCCATGCTATAATAAAACTGAGGATTTATTGAGTTACTAAACTGTACACCTCATATATATGTTGATGCTTCTTTCTTATACGTTTTTATTACTTTATTTATTTTGGTTTTGTATATTTAAGGGCCTTTCCTGATTTGGGTATTGATGGAAAAAAAAAATGAACCTTCATGAATCAAGCATGCAAAGAGTTGTGGTAACTGGTAACCATTAATCAACAAGAAAGGACGAAATGAAAACAACAATAAAGAAGAATTTCATAAATTAAACATTGAAAGAAAACTTGGCTTCGTTATAATTTTCAATTTTAACTAACAACTTAATCAAATGTCACATTTTTTATAACTTAATTCCTTTATTATTAACTACCATATTCATCATTCAGTCAATTACATACATGTTAGATAAAATAAGTTAAGTTTTGCATAATAATGTAGTTCGATATTTTTCATAACTAAATTTTATTATCGCACCACATATTACAAAATTTTGTGTAATACTGTTTTATAAAAGTTATGTATATTATCAATACACTAAATATATTAAGTAAACCTTATGGAGAATAGTTATTTCAATTAAACAAAATGTATTGTTTTAGTCATCTGTAATGATTAAGACACTACGTAGAGGGATATTCATTTCTTTTGTACCAACTAAACAAATATAATTATGTAATTTTTTCTTTTGTATCAATTAAACAAATCACTATTTCCTTTGTATCAATTAAACATATCAATTAAACAAACATATTCTGTCAGTTTTTCGTAATATAAGTTTGAACAAAAAAATTATTTATAATTAATTAAATTGTTGATCATAGCATCTGTATATATTATATAGAGGATTTGTAAGATTAATTATATGTTACATAAAAATTTAATAAAAATTTAATATGTTCTATAACTTAATTATTTTCATTGTTAACTGAAATTCTATAACTATTACCTACTCTATGCATCAAATGTTATACTTTTTCTAACCTATTTCTTACATTATTAACCAAAATTCCTTAACTATTACCTACTATATTCAACATCTCATCAATCTGCATTATGCGAAGGTTCAATAAAGTATGTTAATTTTTACATATAAATATAATCAACTGTGATGTTTTCACAACATGATTTTATTATTAGACCACACATTGCATGAGATTTACATCGTTCTACAGCTACGTAAAGTAAATATATATTATGTAAAAATTATGGAGGAATAGTTATTTTTATGGACCCATTAAAGTAACATATTACGTAATCTTCTGTAATGATCAAAACACTATTACACTATGTTTGGCAACAAGGGGGGTGCAAGTTCGAGGGGGGTACAAGTTGAAGGGTAAATTGTTGGGGGGTGCAACTTGGTGGAGGGTGTAAGTGGAGGGGTAAATTGTTGTTTGGATGAAAAAGTAGGGGGGTGCAAATAGAGTAAAAAGTAAGTAATTATATTATTATAAAATAAATTTATCAATTTATAAAATATTATCACAAAATAACAACATGAAAATTCAATATATAATAATAAAAATAATTTTAATAAAAATAATTTTAATAAAAATAATTATTATATAATAATGCTCAAATATAATTATTTATAACAACAATAATAATCATTGGTCGAGCAACCTCGAAACTCGAAATCCAACTCGTAACTAGTCATCCTAACGGGGTTCTCGTGCCTAACTTTAAATTGAATATGGTCAAACTTAGTCAAACACGTTCGAATCTGTAAGTTTTAACTACTTATTAAAGTAAATCGAGTTAACTAAACTGTTCCTCTCTATCTTTTCAACAAACGCTTCTTATCTCTAATTTTCAATGCAAATTCGGGTCAACTAAGAGATATCGATTTGACGAGGCGAACATTGACAAACTTGCTCTCTGAGTCAAACGGTCAACCCCAAACAACTTCTACACTAATATAGATATAAGAAAAAATTAATAATATTAATTATTATGTAATTATAATCTAATTAAAAATTCATAATTCCCCTCCTCCCCCTTCCCCCTCCCTTCCTTCCTTCCCTTGCACCCCAATTTGGGGGGTAAGCCGAAACAGTGAATTTACGCTCACGTTTTGCACCCCCCTACTGTTACAAAATAACCAAACGGGGGTAAACACCTTGGAACTTGTGTTTACCCCTCCAAACTTGCACCCCCTTCCATTTACACCCTTTCCCAAACATAGTGTTAAAGTTTATATAGATATCTTACCCAAACTATTTCAAAAATTATTTGATTTCAACTACATAATCAAATGAATGAAATTTTAAATATAATTAATTCATTAGTATCTTTAAAAGAACAAACTACAAGTTTATTGTTTGGTAGAGTCACTTCCTAATTACTGTTTGGCAGGCTTTTACTGGGTTCTCGCTTCTAATTATTGCCCTTCTCTCTCTTTTATCTCTGCTTTTTGCCAGCGACGACTCTTCTCTCTTCAATTGATCGGTTTTCGGACCTTCTCACCTTTGCCCTGGAGATGACAGGTCTGCCGCTTCCTCATCTCTTTGTTATCCTGCTTTCCTACCTTCCATTCTTGCTTCTAACATCATTTTTCTCTGTTATCCTGCTTTGCTCGCTTCCTTTCTTCTGTTGCTCTTCAATGGTGACCCATAAACTACTGTTTGAACTCAGCGACGCGGATGGTCCTCATACTCTTCTGAAACTGCGGCTCCTTAATGCGTGGGGGCCTTATGGTTTGAAGAATCCTAACTTAATCTTCAACTACTGCACTCTTTGGACTGATGAGGAGGTTAGCGCTGACTTCCTTTTTCTTGACATGCAATTTTGATGTTCCCTTTCATGTTCAGCCCTCTAATGTTCCTTACTTTCTATCCAGGGTACTTTGATTCAGGGCACGGCTCCTTCGGAACTCACGCATCATTTTGCTCCGCTTATGCCGTTGGGGAGTGTTTACTTCGTTAGCAATTTCCGCGTCAAACAGCCTGCCCCTTCGTATGGTTCTTGCTCTCACAAGTTGAGCATCATCCTATCTGCCGATACGCATTTTGGCTGGATGCGTTCGAATTTGCCCCTTACAGCTCGCTGCATTCCCGTATGCGTTCGTCAGTTTATCTAATAGCTCGTTTTTCGGTTTTTGTCTCTTAATTTTCCCTGCTATACTGTCCTGTTTGCAATCCTGACTTTTAACTTCTTACTTGGTTCTTTGTCAGATGTCGTCGGCGCTGTCGTTAGCATCACAGGCGTTTCAAGCACTGTCACTTCTTTTGGCACCACCGTGCGGAGTGATTTGGTTCTTCAGAATGAAAAGTAAGTTAGAGATTCACGCCTTTGCTTTATAGACCTCGCTCAACTTTCTGCTTTCTTTCCCTGGGTTTCTTGTCCAGTCACATGTTTCTTGATATCAGTCTGTGAAGTGAGATAGCTCGGAGTCTCAATGGTCAGGAACTGGCTGTCCTTGGTCGCTCTGGCCCAGTCATGCTTGCTGTTTGCTCACTTCGGGTCACTGGCGCTACGAAAGGTTTACATATGCCCTACCAACGCATTTCTGCTTTTTATTTCCCTTTTTGTTTTCTTATTACCCTTTTCCCTTTTGCAGGAGGTTACTCTCTTACCAGTACTCCAGGCACACGTTGTGTTCTCAATCCTGTCTCTGAAATGGCTCACCTGGTTCAATCTGTGTATGTTGTTCCCTTCTATTTGTCGTTGATTTTCCTTGCTTTATGAATAGCCTATTTCCCTACCATTTGTCTTATTGTTCCTGCTAATTGGTTCCGTTTATTGCCTTTGCTTTCAATAGGTTCTTTGCTAGCACTAATACAGTTCAATACTACCCTCTGAGGTTTGCAACTCCTAATGAAGCAGCGGCTTTTGAAGCTGAGTGCACAAAGACTGTATAACAGTTGCTTGCCTTGTGTTTTCCGCCTGTTGCCGATGTATGTTGTTTCTTTCTGTTCCTCTACTGCTTACCTATTTCTGTTCCTTTTTACTTATTTTGTTGCCCGTCTGATCGGTTTTTGTTTCTCATTGGTTGTAGTCTACGCGTTACCATTGCTCTGGTCGAATCGTTTCTGTTGATTCTTCGATGCAGTGGTATTACCTAGGTTGTGCATTCTGTTCTAAAACAGCCATAGACTACGATGGTGTCGACAAATGGTGTGATGACCACCGCCGTTTGGTGCCTCAACAAACACAGAACTTGTAATTCCTTTCTCAGTTCTTGCTTTAGTGCCTTTTTCCTTTTCTGCTGTGCTCAAATATTGCTATACTTGTTTTTTGCAGTTACAAACTCCGAGTAACTGTTGATGACAACACTGAGTCAGCGGTGTTTGTTCTGCTTGGGAGGGCCGCTGAACTTCTTGTAGGCTTAACTGCTCACGATCTCTCTGCTAGGTTCCCTTACCAACGTAACATTTTGCCACAAGAACTTCTGGCTCTTGAAGGGTGAGACTTTACTTTTGATGTTCAACTTCCAAAGCTAGAGTATGGGTCTCGTGGCCCGCCAGAGTTCACAGTTCTCTCTGTCACAGAGCAAGAACAATCAAATTCCCGTTCACCAGCTCCTGGTCGCCGCCCAAGAAATGCCATGCCCCATACACCACCTCCTAACAGGTTAGTTACAAAGTTATGTTGGGTTTTACGGTTTAGTTTTCTTGCGCTCAATAACACCGGTTGCTTTTCATCGCAGTTCTCACATGATGCCTCTTAGTTCCCCAAACACTATTCCATCAATGCATGTCCCTTCGGTGGAACATGTTTCTTCTTCTGCTTCACCGAGGTTATGTTTCCATTTCTTAACCTCTTATTTCTCTGGTGTTTTTGCTTACTCTAATTTGTGGTTTCCTACTCAATTTGCAGTGGGAGTTCTCAGTCTGCATTTTGTACTCCTCCACGCCGTCCCTATATAAGGTTGCTTTGGTCCTTTAATTTTTCTCTCAAAATTCCACACACAACTATTCAAACACTATCGTACTCTTTCCCTACATATTTAAATTCCTTTTTCATACCTTATCCGCGCACCAATTTGCAGTAGGCGCATCGCTGCTGGTTCTTCGCCCTCATTTGCTGCATTAGGAAGGTTCCCTGTTTGTTGTTCTGTTTGCTACCTTACTTATACTTTTACACGTTCTTATGTATTTTTTCTGACATGTTCATTTTCAGCATCAACTCTGGATTGTCTTCTCCTGAAATTGGTCGGATTGGTAATGTTTCCTATGCACGGTCAGTTTTCTTCCCTTTCCATTTATTACCCCAATATTGGATTTGACGACTGCTTCTATTTTTCATTGGCTCTTACACAACTGTTTTTTTAATTGCTTCTTAGACCTAGAATTGAGGCAGTGCCCTCACAGGCTGAAATGCATCCTTCGCCGCAGTAATTTTCCTTGTCTTTAGCTGCTTTCTCGCTTTATATCTCTCCTTTCCTCTACTGAAAGTCTCTCTATCAGGGAATTTGCCTCGGCCACTGCAGATGCTTCTGTGCAGAACAAAAACGGTAGTTCAAAGAAAGCGATTACGAAGAAGCCAGCTTCTAAGAAGAAGTTTGTCTGCCTTTTATTAGTTGTTGTTGTTTCTTGTACCCGTTTTACCAAAATCCTGCATTAGATTTTCAATTCCTGTTCAGATCCCTTTTGCTTGCCCTTTCGCTTTTCTTACACAAATGTACCGTCAGAAGTTTTGGGTTTCTTGAGTTTTCCAAAGAGTCGCTTTGGTGTTGTCTTTTGTGCGCCCTTCTTGCTTAATATCCCCCTACTTCCCATACATTGGTTAATGTTCTTCTGTGTTTTTGGGCCCTTACTTGGTTGTTAGCTGCTGCTACGCTATTGTTCTCTCTATGCTGCCACCATGAAATACAGTTGCCAATGGACGCCCTTCTGCATCCCTTTCTTGGACCTTCTCTTTCTTACACATGTATTCTCAATTCCCAGACAATCAATTTTACCTTTTAGTACACATACTGATTATCCAGAGATGTGTTACCTTTTTGTTTCAAAAAAAAAAAAAAAAAAAAAAAAAACAAAAACAACAAAACCAGTTGTAGTTTTGCTTATCCTGTTTACTTTATTTGTAGCTCAGTTCATCTACCATTAGTTTTTTCCTTCTTTGAATCAAATGATCCTTGCCTGGTGTTGCTGCTACTTCTAAGCTACTCATTTTAAACTTGAGGTTTCTTTTTCATTGATTGTGGGAACTAGTAGTAACTTGATCTTATAAAATCTTGCGCAGTGTTGTTGTCTTTCTCCTCTACTATTTTGCATGCTGTCATTATCTATTTCCTTACTCCATTTGTTGCTATCTGTTCCATACTTGCTTAGTCCTCTTCTAAGGGGAAAGCAAAAGCTACCAAATCGTCTGCTAAAGAACCTGCTAAGAAACGATTGTTTGATGGTTAATCATGACTCACGGAAACGAGTGTTGATGTATCATGTTTCTGCAGTGCCCTCCCTTCCTTGCTTTTGCAGATCTGTTTGAGGAAAACACTATTTTGCAAGTGGTGCATCATATATCTTTGCCTTTTGTATAGTTTTGCAAACTTTGGCCGCCTTTTGGGGTGCCATTCCTACCAACACTATTGCCAATCTGTCTGCTATGAAACTTGGCTACTATTAGTTTCAGTGTTGGTGCGTATTAGTGCTTTAGTTTTTTGTTTTTTAGTCAAGAACTATGTCGCTAATATATATCAACATTTGTTCATGTACTTCTTTGGGTGATGATATCGCACCACTCTGCAATTGAAATTTACTTTGGTAACATGTTTGTTGCTCTTGTGATCCTATATTTATTGTGCATAATATCGCCGTTTTGGCCAAATTCGTTTTATACTTTTATCTTCCCATTATGCTCGGTGATTGCCTATCTTGCTTTTAGTCACGCTTGGCCATTGTCTGTTGTCAATGGCCACTTTGAACACCAGATGATACATAGGTTTTGCACTTGCAGGGTATTCAGGTTGTATACTACAAAGTAAACGTTTGTCAACCTGCACAATTGTTTCCAAATAGATCACAAATTGTATTTTACTTTTAATCTTATTAACTAGATATTTCGGTTGTCCACTAATACCATCACTTTGTTTGCTAGCTTTCATAAACCAAAATTATTAACTTATTTTCTTCTATTAATTGCCATCATGCATTTATTGTTCTGACTAGCCTGTGTACTAATGATGGCTTTTTGCTTCTCACTTCCCTACACTATCCTACTATGGTGCATGTTGCATTATTATACTTTTTCCTTGGAAGGATATTCCCCCTAGAGACACCATTTGCCCTGTAGACTGTCTTCTTCCATAACTGCTTGCCATTATCGCGCCTTTATGATCATTCTGTCTCAGGCATTGGTTATTGAATAACATTCTCTGCTACATCTGCTACAACCTTAACTGGTTCTTTTCTTCCTTTTCAATTCTGCCAGTATCGTTATTCCCCTATACCCATCTAGAAAACGTTTCATGGTTAGTTTACTCAAGTTCTTGCCTTCATCTTTCCACAAATCTCGGTTCTGTTCCCGTGTCGCTTTCCCATACTTTTAAGGTCTTGCTTTCTATTTAACGTCGCTCTATATACCTCAGGCTACTCCCAAACAGGCTGCACTATTGGTGCCCGGTCGTTCTGCGAGTAGGAAACGCCGTCACATTGTTCTTTCCCCTGAATTTGTGCCTACTACGCCTCCTTCGAGACCTTTTTTGAGGCGTCGTGTATGCAGCTTCGATAGACGCGGAAGCTTGCACCCACTACTTGACTCAGAAGGTATACTTGAGTCCTCTGAACGGGACCTAGCAACTCTCGAAGACTTAACAGGAAGGCCACAGTCTCACTCTCCTGTTCCGTTGCTTGATGTGTCTCTTCCACCTTCACAACAAGCAGAATTTAGTAGAACTATCAATCATGGTTTTCCTGATTGTGAATGCCAAGACTATGGTGCACGGTTCTGGTATGAAGAGCGGCTTAACAGACATGCATCTCTTACTCCTGTTTTCACACTTTGTTGTCAGAAGGGTTGAGTGCGCCTGCCATTTCTGCAGGAAACTCCTCAGTACCTTGAAGACCTCTTGGGTGTTAATGCCGGTCCTATGGCAGCGCATTTCAGGGAACATATACGCTCCTATAATGCTGCTTTTTCTTTCACATCCTTTGGAGCACGCCTCGATCCAAGAGTTACACGGTCATGGGGCCCTTATTTATTTCTTAATATGCGGAGAAAATTATCATCGCATGGGATCTTTGCTTCCTGTTGAAGGTTAGAGACCTAAATATTCTCAACTCTACGTCTTTGACCCACAAACCGAACTAGCAGATCGACTGTCCAATTTTTCTTCTGCTGAAAGGTCCCTGCGTACAGATATTATTTCTAGGTTAATGAAGCTGTTTGATGTCACAAATGAATTGGTTAAGTCTTTTAGACGAATTTGTTTTGAATTGACTGATCCAGTATCAATCAATTTAAGACTGCGTATCGTTGGTGCAAGAGACACAGCATCTCGACAGTATGAACTTCCGACTAGTTCGGAGTTGGCTGGACTCATTCCTGGTGATTTCTTGCCTGATAAGGAAGAACGAGAGATCATTATCGACCATTGGTCAGAGGGCCTAAAGAGGATCACAAGTGTTCACCCGAAGTTTGATGCTCTGCACTTCCCGGTTCTCTTCCCATACGGAGAAGATGGATCCATGTGAACATACCGTATGATTCTGTTCATACTCCCAAAACACTTAAAAGGAAACATGTAACTGAAAGAGAGTACTATGCTTACCGACTTCAGCATAGAGATGACGAAGGGCAAACATTGATGCGTGGTGGGAAGGCACTCAAACATTACGTGGTCGATGCATATTCCACAATTGAGCAAAATCGACTCTACTACTTACGATCGCATCAAGAAAACCTCTGGTCTGAACTGTACTACGGCCTTACGGATGATTTCAACAGAGTTGATGTTACAGGAGATAATGTTGGCCATGTTGTGCTGCCATCATCGTATACTGGGAGTCCTAGGTACATGAAGCAATTGTACTTAGATGCAATGGTTGTTGTCCACCATCATGGCAGCCCCGATCTGTTCATTACCTTTACGTGCAACTCCTAGTGGCCAGAAATAACAGAATCCTGTTGTGCTCTCTGTGGTGCGCGCAGTGAACTGAAACCAGAGATTGTTGCTAAGGTCTTCCGCATGAAGCTTAATGCACTGGAAGATGAATTAACACGAGGCCATTTTTTTGGCCAGACAGTGTCGGGTCTTTCCCTTTGCCTTCTGCTCTTCATTTCCTTTTGAAACTGCCTATTCTTAACTCTCTTGTTGCTATCACCATATACTTGCTCATTTACCTTGTCATTTGTACTCTATGATAGATGACATATTTCATTTCCTTATAATTGCAGGTTTCAAAACCGTGGAGTTTCAGAAGAGGGGTTTGCCCCATGTTCATATACTTTTATGGTTGGATTCAAAGAATAAGTTGCGAACAGTCTCTGATATTGATCAACTGTTAGTGCTGAGATGCCAGATCCACTCAGCGATCCAATTGGCTATGATGCTGTGACAAAGTTCATGCTCCATGGCCCATGTGGTGAAGATAATCTGACCAATATTTGCATGAAAGAAGGCTTGTGTTCAAAGTATTTCCCAAAACAATTCAATTCAGAAACTACAACGGACCAATTTGGATATACAGTCTATCGCCGTCGTGATACAGGTATAACAGCAGTGAAAAGTACATGATAAACCGTTAATTGCACATGTTTTCACCCCTATTCTTGAGCCGTTTGAGATGTTGATTCTCATTTTTTAGGCCGATTTCACGCTAGGTTGTGCTTGTTTGTGATATTTCAGGTCCTAGTAGGTGAATGAAGGTTTGGGAGCGAGTTCGGGGTCGATTGGACGAAGATCGGACGTGAGGCGAGTCGCTGAGGAAGCCACACGGGCACACACAAAACCCACACGACCGTGCAAGTAACCAATGTGGCCGTGTGGGATTGTGCGAGCCTTCACACGGGCAGACTGGGCATGCCACACGGCCGTGTGCCCCTGGCCGTGTAGGAAGCCTGAAATCCCCTAAATCGGAATGCGGCGTTTTGGACCTCACACGGGCATCTGGGTAAGCCACACGGCCGTGTGGCCTGCCCGTGTGAGTCGGGAATTCTGGTTTTTACCCAATTTGGAGCCACAAGTGAGGGAATGGACTTTTCAGAGCAAAAACAGAGTTTTAGAGAGAGAAAGGGTGAAGAACAAACCCTAGGAGCTATTTGGAGTGGATTTCTCACCATTGAAGCCCAGATTGCATCCCCAGGAGTGAAGATTGACATCCCAGAGCAGATTTTCCTCATCTTTATGAGTATGACTACTCTGATTTCTGTTTTCCTCTCTCTCTCTCTCTATGGAGTAGAACCCTTCTCTCACTTGGGTATGAAGAACCCTAGTTCCATGTGTTAGGGATTTGATTGTAATGACTTGGGATGATTAAACTGTTTGGTTTTAAAGAATGATGCATGTTTCATTGAATTGATTGAAGTCTGATCAGCTTTTCTTGATTTCTGCTGCAACCTGAGATAGATAGAATCTGATTAGGTTGTTAGAGCTTCATCATTCGTTAGTAGTGGATTTGTTATACGAGAGTTAGTCAGTTTACTGCTTTGTACTTGAATCCAATTCCAGTAGTGGAGTTCTGTGCTTATTGCTTCAGCTTTCTATCCCGGTGAAGACTAGCCGTCTGCCGGGTAGTTAGACTGAGAGGGCTTGGTCAGCTTAAGAGATTCCAAGCTACTGTCGGATCTTCCGCAGTCTAATCAACACTAAATCAACCCATGGTAATTACAATTGAGACCTGACTAAGGAGCTAGGGGGACTCATTCCCGAGTGACTCTTCCTTTGCTTGAGAAAACCGAATCAATTCATGCTTTCTTTCTGCTTTTAGTTAAAACAACAATCAATCGACTTAGTTGGCTGGATAATAGATAATCACGGAGTAGGCAGTAGATCTAGACCCTGGGTTGATATTTAGAACTTGCCTCTTTACTGCAGTCCCATTCTGCGATTATACTTGGTCGCAGTTTGGTGTTGTGTTTTGGCGTGTCAGTACATCTATACCAACCCCTTTATCGTTCCATACAATCGGAATTTACTTGTTCTCTTTCAAGCTCGTATCAATGTCGAGGTCTGTCATCAAGGGCGATTGATTAAATATTTGTTTAAGTACATTACGAAGGGCCCAGATAGATCCATGGTGCTTGCTGAAACTGCTGGTTTGTCTGTGTCTGATCCTGTTACACCAAGCCATATCCCTCCATTGGACGAAATTAAGCAGTTCCTTGATTGTAGAAGTCTATCTTCATATGAGGCAGCATGGTGTATCTTTGAGTTTCCAGTTCATGAACGAACGCCATCAGTTCAGCGTTTGTGCGTTCATCTTGAAAGAAGACATTATGTTCCTTATAGGAAAAAACAACGCCTGTCTCGAATACTTGCCCGCGATTCTGTTTCAGAAACAACATTGACACAGTGCTTTGCTCTTAACCAGCGGGATCCAACTGCCAAGGAATTACTCTATGCTGAAACTCCAAATCGTTACATTTGGAATGTTAAAACAAAAACATGGTATCAGAGGAAAAAGGGTTCTCAATTGGAAGAATTGTATATATCCATCCTGGTTGTGGTGATACCTTTTATCTCAGACAGCTTCTTACCAAAGTTTGTGGGTCTGTTAGTTATGCAGATCTTCGAACAGTTCATGGATTCCCATGTCGAACGTACCAAGATGCATGCCAACGCCTTGGTGTTCTATCTAATGATGATGAATGGTTGCTTGTAATTAAAGAAGTCAGTCAATGGGGCATGGGTCGCCTGTTACGATATCTCTTTGTCTCCATGTTGATGTTTTGTGAGTTATCGAACCCACTTCAGCTTTTCAATCAGACATGGGCATTGCTTTCCGAGGACATCACATATAGGTGCCAACGAGATGTTTGCTTCAACAACAACCTCATACCACCTGAACTGCCCAGAAATAAATTGTTGTGGGAATTGCAGCACATGTTGGATGCTTATTCAACCACATTATCTCACTTTAACCTTCCTTTGACAACAAATGGTCCTCCACAAACTGATCCCTTGCTTCAGTATGGACTTGATTCACATCCTGCGTTTTACCTACTGTAGATTCCCCACCTGCTGTAGTTGGTAATCTAACAGAAAGCAACTTGAAGCTTTTCATTTGGTTATGGAATCTATTGTGTCTCCAACTAAAGATTCACCTACATTCTACTTTCTGTATGGACATGGAGGAACATGCAAGACTTTTCTCTACAGAACTATTCTTGCCGCTCAACGGTTCCATAATGCGTCGTATCTCACTGAAAGATCCATTGTTACACCAACAAATAAGAATGTCACAGAGATAAACTCTCATATGCTTGCTCTGATTCCAGGAATGCTACGCACATATTTTAGTGGTGATAGTCTCCATACAGATGCAAGCGATCCAGACCGACTTGAAGCAGAATATTCCACTGAATTCCTTAACTCCCTCTCTTTCAATGGTTGTCCAGAACATCAGATTGATCTTAAGGTATTTGCTCCAATTATGCTGCTGAGGAACTTAAACCCATCCATTGGTCTTTGTAATGGTACACGCTTGATGGTGCTTTATTTGGGCCATTATGTTATCAAGGAAATGATAATGGGAGGCACATTCAATGGTAAGACTGTGGCAATTCCCAGAATTTTCCTTAGTATCAATGATTACCGTTGGCTATTTGTTCTTAAACGCCGCCAGTTTCCAGTACGCTTGTGCTATGTCATGACAATCAACAAAAGCCAGGGCCAGACACTGCAAAATGTTGGTGTGTATCTGCCAAAACCAGTATTCAGCCATGGCCAACTTTATGTCGCTGTTTCTCGGGTTAGAACAGTAGATGGTCTTCGATTCCTTATCATAAATGAAGATGGCGTCCCCTCCAACTATACCCGGAATATTGTTTACCAGGAAGCATTCGTTAACCTTCAGACCCCATCTTCCTAACTAGAGGTAATTCTTTTAATCTGGTGCATTCAATGTTTTACAGTTCCTTTACTAAACGATTTCCTAGAATCGCAATGTGCATCTTAGCGTTCATGTTTGTTTGTGGCTTTGTCTTTCACAGTTCTGGTGTGTACCTATCGAACACAATTTTCCCGGCTAAATTACACGTTTGGTCACTCAAATTATACAAATCTTTCACGTTTGCCACCCGAATTACTTTTCTTTCTTATTCGCCACTAACTTTACGAATCGTTTCACGGTTGGTCACCGGCCGTTACACTCCGTTAAGTTTGTCCTACGTGGCAGTCAACTACAAAGTTTGACCGTTAACTAGATGACGTGGAAATTAAAAAAATAAAAAAAATAAACTTTTCTTTTCACCTCATCATTCCACTTATTTTTTCTATATAATTTATCATATTAATAATTTAATAAAATTTAATAAATTACAAAAATGGGATGACGACGGCGGTGGAGAAGGGAGATTCTACGGCGGTGATGACGACGCCTTCTCGAGGCTTTCCTTCGGGGACGAATTCCAAGCTTATGGTGACAAGAAGTACGTCTCAGACGACAACAGCGACAAGTTTCCGTCGTCGAGTTGCCGGAGCTGCTGCACTAGATCAAACAGAGTAGGAACGAGAACAGGGGAGGAGGAGGAAGTTGGGAATTTCGCGTTTTTGCCGGCCGAGGGTACGAGAGAGACGGCTGTGGAAATCAGGACTCCAAGGCTGAGATTGGCGAGCACAGAGAAGAAAACGAGGAGATCGAATTCGAAACGGCAACTGGGCTCAGAAGAAGTTGTTGAAGCGAAGAAAAAACAGGGGAGGAATGCAGAGGCAGAGAGCCCAGAATTCAAGAAACAGGCGGCGGTTTCGGAATTAGAAGGCGCCGCGTGGGATTCTTCCACAAAGGCAGGAAATTTCGAGCTTGCGGCGGAGATTCTCTCGTCGGCCGAGTGGGGCAAAGGGAAAGATACGAGTTAGGTCACCCAGTTCGTGTAATTAAGGCCGACGAACCCGCTCCAAACCGCTTAAACGCGAATTTAATTCGGTTCGCCAAAAAATCGCGAATTTCATTTTATCAGAGCGCTATTTATGGAAATCAGAAACGCGAATTAGAGTTTCCCCTCGTTTCTCTTCCGACGAAGAGTTTTCTTCTTCAGCTCTACATATGTTTCTGGTTCGTATCTTCAATTAGGTTTTCAATAGATGAAATCGAGTTCCATGGATTCCCTTCATGCACCTATAGAAGCGATGGAAAAGAGAAGAAGGCGGAGGAGAAAAGAGGAAGAACGTCAACCCCCGTCGCCGCGACGGTTCAAGCTCTCTTCAATAAACTCTACCTCGGAGGTATCGTGGTTCTGATCCCGGCAACGATCACTGATGATGGATGGAAAATTCCCAGATCTGAGTTTGAAAAGACAAAACTGCAAGGAGATGAGCTGGGCGAGATCGATCGATCCTCTACTTCGTCGGATTCTGACTGGATGCCTTGTTGCTGGGCTTGATGGAGAGGACGATTTCCTCGAGGTTACAAGGAGAGTGGCTGAGAACAGAAGGGCATTTATTAATTTATTTCTTAATTTGGGTGGGTTGACGAGGCCTGATGCAGAGGACATTATAAGATATAATTGCTTTTTATTATTGTCATTATAATATTAATAATTTAATAATTATATGAGTTTATTTTTGTAATTTATTAAATTTTATTAAATTATTAATATGATAAATTATATAGACAAAATAAGTGCAATGATGAGGTGGAAAGAAAAAATTATTTTTTATTTATTTATTTTAATTTCCACATCATCTAGTTAACAGTCAAACTTTATAGTTGACTGCCACGTAGGACAAACTTAACGGAGTGTAACGGCCGGTGACCAACCGTGAAACGATTCGTAAAGTTAGTGGCGAATAAGAAATAAAAGTAATTCGGGTGGCAAATGTGAAAGATTTGTATAATTTGAGTGACCAAACGTGTAATTTAGCCCAATTTTCCCAATCTATCGTTCTTTCTTACCAGGACTCTTCTAACAATAGGTTGGTATGGAAAGACGCGACTATTTTGTTTGTTTATGCACGTTGATCTACACTATTCAGCTTACCCACACTGCATCTAATCCCCGTCTGTTTTACTAGGGCCAACCTCTTCTGACTGGAGCTTTTCGGTTACTTTAGTGTGTTTTTTTGGTTGCGGGCTTCTCTTTCAAAAGCAAAACCAGCTCGTCGCTGCAATAATATTTCCTTTTATTTCTGCTTCCTGCTCTTTCCTCTTTTCTGTATGTTACCTTTGTAAGATCCCTGTCAAATATTTGGGTTTCATTTGGAAAATTCTGAGTCGTTTTTCCTGTTTGGATGGAACTTTGCTCTCTTGTTCAGCCCGTTCACATTATGGCCCATTACTGTGTTTTTAACCCACGCGCAATGAGCCTGTTCTAGCTGTACACGATCGTCCAAACACTTATTAAGTCGTTCAGTGTAGGTGCGATTCCATTTTACCAGCGCTTGCTAATTTATCTCTTTTTTTCGAACTTAGGTATGAGCCTCAACTCGCCGATCTAGAACCGCAATCGCCTCTTAGAAGTCAGGTATTAGGTATTCCTTACCTCTCTTACCTGTTTAGCTTCGCTTCTGCCGTTCTGTTACCTGTCTGGATCACAAGTTTTCTGTTATTCCCAGCATTTCCCACCATTCTGTGCCCTTGCCCATCTTACCTCTGTATGCATTTGGTGTTTGTAGGCAAAAGTTCAGAAACTTACAAGGATAAACACCCTGACAGGCTGAACTGTGAAAGAATATGCAAGGTTTTACTAAAAAAAAAACTCTTCTTTGCCCTATTTGTTTATTTGAATCAACGAGATGTTGTTGTTTACGCGTAAAAGCTCCACTATTGACACTGAATGCTTGTTAGATCCAGTTATAGGTTCGGTTGTAGTTCCAGATTTACGCCAAGGAACGTTTCCATTTCCTATTCTTCTCCGTTTGCTTCATATATGGAGATGTGTGGATTCTACTACAGGCCGACCTTTTCCTTGCATGTGTACTTTATGGGTCGATAAAGAGGTTAGTTTTTGCTAATTTGGCATTTTCGTTTCAGTTAAATGCTTTGTTTCGGTCCAGGGAAATATTATAGAAGGAACAACAGGAACAGAACATGTACAGTATGCAGAACAAAATTTCAATATAGGTGACATACTACAATTTGAAAATCCAGTGATCATTCAAGCAAGGCCAATTCGTTGTTCTTCCCCATCTCCTGTTCGGCTGAAAATTGAAAGTGACGCCCAGAATACAACCTAAACTGCTCTTTTCCAACAGAGGGTTTTAGCATCATTGAATTTGAAGATTTGAAGCATGCTTGGTCAAACAGAACAACTTTACCAGGTTTATGGTTCATGATCATATATGTATATTATATATAGCAAAAAATAATCTTACAAATTCTGGTGCAGATCTTACAGGACGAATACTCTCCATCTCAAGACCCATCCAACGACACAATAATCAAATGGCAATGCTTATCAGACTACAAAATACAAGGTACATATTCTTATTGGAATTCTTTTATTCAGTATCTACTGGCATGTGTTGCTTATGATTCCAATTCCACATTCCGCAGAAATGCAACTGTCGTTATCAGCTATGAGGGACCATACTCTGATTTGTTTACATGGGCTGAATCAATGGAACTGTTATGTCCAGTTGTGGTTACGTTGACGAGCATATCAGTAACTAAAGCAAAAACGAAATGTATGTCCTATACATGTTTTTTACTTGGTTAGACTGTCATAATTTACTTTCTGCTTCTTGAAATGCCCCTTATACATTTATCATTGCTAATGCAGCTTCTTTTAGCCTGAGAAGCACACCGGCTACTAGAATTGTGTATGGTTCGTACACAAATAGATGCAAATATATCATTGACAGGTTGTTTCAAGTCAGCCACATTAACCAGTAACTTATTTCAAACATACACTAATCTGAATTCTTGGAAACTTGTGTTTTAATATAGGTTTTACCAAGACCATTTTCCAGTTATGGTTCTCCCTCTCCAAGCAAAACCTGAAACAGAATATCTAAGGCAGTCAATACCTCCCCAGGTCATGTTGACTAGGCTTGCCCGCTTGGTTGAATGTGATGACCTTGCTGTTTACAACCAGGTTTGTACTTACAAATTTTATTTTGCAGGAATGCTATCTCTTTTGCCCTTTACCAATATTGCTGCTCTTTTCTTTCCAAAAAAACAGCGCGTCTTTTTGTTTCTCGCAAAGATTGATCATGTCTTGCCATATGAAGATATCATAGACTTCAGCAAAGACCCATGCAAGTGCTCTTGCCTATACTTTACATTACTGCAGTATGTTCAACAATACATCTTTATAGGTCACATCATACTATCGCATTTGTTCAGGTTTTGCCCAATCGTCCGTTGTATTGACATGAGGGAAACATGCGATTTAGCTTTTGGGGATGCAGCAGCACAGGCACTTTTCAAAATCACCGCTGAAGACTTTTCTAAACTTGATTGGCCTGCCAAGGAACAAATCCTTGAAAGAGTACAGGGGGCACTTTTTAACTTCGAGATCTATGTTCGCAATCCAGACATAACCCACCAAATGATTGTTCGAACTCTCTGGAGTCCATTGTGCACGACAATTCCTAACACTGCGCTGTAGAATACTTCTATTGCTTAGGTGTTCACAGTACTATCAACTTATATGGTTCCTATTTTGATGTTCCCCAAATAACTCCTTTATGTACCTAATTAGGCACGTGATATTGCTTCCCTTGACCTTTTCCCAAATGTACTTTCGAACTTGTATCGAATCTGCCTCTTTTATTGTTAATTTCCTTCCCAATACTTGAACCATTCCTTTATTAAGTAACCATGTTGACAATGTTGAACAATGCACCCGAAAAGGTGTTAACACGGTCCCTTAGATCTACCTTCAATACACCGTCTCACTTATGTAACTATTTGATATTTCACAATAACCAACAATTTGTTAACGACCGATGCTTTCATATAACAAGGATTTGAATGTAATGTCAACGGATAGTTGCAAATACAAAAACTTCAGCTTTTCGAATTCCTCTCAAAGTTCAGTTATTTATGCTCACTATACAAATTGAAAAGCACAAAATCTTCTTTTGGAAATTGCATCTCATTACAAATTCCTGCTGTTACAAATTGTTTTGTAGGACCATAACAAACTCCCATTACAAGCTCACCATCATGAACCATTTTGTGATTCACAAACAAAAACCTTGCTTTTGCATTAGGTTAGCCATTTTCATAAATATACTACACAAATTGATAGGACTTCAGGTATGGGCACTATTGGCCAAAAAAAGGCCCAAAAGTCACAAGCCCAACTCATCTTTCGCTACCATTCTCACAGGTACTCGCAAAACAATGGCCTGTATATGGCTAAATTACACGTTTGGTCACTCGAATTATATAAATATTTCACGTTTGCCACCCGAATTACTTTTCTTTCTTATTGACCACTAACTTTACCAATCGTTTCACCGTTAGTCACCGGCCGTCAGTCTCCGTCAAACTCCGTTAACACCGTCAGATTTTTTATGACGTGGCAAACGGAACTATTGACTGGGCATTATTTAATGACGTGTCAATTTAAAAAAATAAAAAATAAAAAAAGATTACACCTCATTTTCTTCTCACTGTATCCTTTCTTTTCTCCTTCGTCTTCACAAGACCAAAAGTCCAACGTGAAGGGTGACCGCTGCGATACCCCTTGTTGCCGTAAACTCCGTCGCCTTCAGCATCCTAATCCGCCGCACCACCAAGTTTTCCTGTCGGAGTCGGAGTCGCCACTGCTCGCCAAGACCAGTCGCTACAACCTCCTCTCAAAGGCGCCGCTACAGGCTCCGCCGGGAATCCACACCATCGTCATCGATCCGCCGTTGTCGTTGTCCCCGTTTCTTCTTCCAGATCTAGGGAAACCCTCCAAAACATAACCACCCCTACATATCAAAATCGAAACTCCTTAAATTCGGAATCAAACAAAAACAGTAAAAATCAACAAGCATTGAGAAGGAATAAACCACTTACCACCTTCGTTCTCCTGGCGGCGACGAGAGCAAAGCAGCGGCAGATTGAGATCGAGGGAGGAGGAGAGTGTGATTTGGGGTTCTAATTTGTCTGGGTTTGATAGAAGAGGGAGATATAGAGAAGGTCGAGAAGAAGCAAAAGAGGGGAAAGGAGGATGAGATACAGATGAGAAGCAGAGAGGGGAAGGAGGGCCGACATTGGTGAGTTGAAGGAATGTATTGGGTTTAATTTTTGAAAAAAAAATAATAATAATAAATTTCATCTCAACCTTCTGTCAGCTCAGTCAGCAGTTCCGTTTGCCACGTCATCAAAAATTTAACGGCGTTAACGGAGTATAACGGCGATGGACGGCTAGTGACTAACGGTGAAACAATTTGTAAAGTTAGTGGCCAATAAGAAAGAAAAGTAATTTGAGTGGCAAACGTGAAATATTTATGTAATTTGAGTGACCAAACGTGTAATTTAGCCGCCTGTATATACTGCTTAATATTTTCCCTCCGATTAAACTGTTTCTTTCCGCTGGTAATAAAAAAAAACCCTCAGTATTCCACTCCAACAGATCCGCCTTTTCCCACGCCAGAAACCCTAAAAACGAAGCTTCTTCTTCACAGCCTTGCCGGTCCCCCATCTCCCTCATCTGGCCCCATCCAGAAATTACACACCGGTAAGTACTACACATTCGTTCGGCAATTCCTATTTTGTATTTTCCTTCTACTTTTTGCATTTTGTTTCTTTTCACAGTTTAAGAAAGGAATTGTTCCTGCCACAGGAAACTATAAAAGGCCAGCTACCTATTTTCGGCGGCAATGGCCGGGGAAATACTGCCGAAAGACCCACATGGTATGTTGACAATTAGTTTGTCAGTTTCATTATAGAGTATATCTATGAGTGCATTTTGACAACCTTTTACTCTTAGATGTGATGACTCAGTCAACAACCTTTCCCAAACTGCTTCTTGGAACAAACAAGCATTTCCTTATGGCTCGGCTGTTAAACATATGGTCAGAATGTGACTCTGATGGAAATACATCTACTACCTCAGTTCATATGCTTTGGTTAGATAAAGAGGTATATTTATAAACATTTGACAACTGCTACTTATACTTTAACTAAAAAAGAACATTTAATAAGCAGATCTTTCGCATTTATGCTCCTTTAGGGACAACTTATGGAAGCGAGTGTACATTATGAAGATTCTAATCGGATTTGCAAGAGCATTCGAATTGGTTGTCTCTATACCATCATAAACCCAACTGTCGTACCTGCTAGATCTGAGCGCCGCACTGCACCTTCCGATCTGATGTTGTATTTCACAAAGTAGGTCTCCTTTAAAAAAATGCTTGAATATCGCAGCACCATGCATTTTCCAGATAACTCTTTTCCGCAGATTCCTTTCAATGTCACTGCTCCTTCTATAAGTCTTCCAGTATGCTACTCGGGTACTCATTATTTATTCTCGGCACCTTGAAATCAATACACTATTTTCAAATTAATATGAACTCTATTTATATTATGCACATCACAGAATGAATGAACATAAAACTGAATAGCTAAAGTTAATTCATTATTCAGATATTACAGGATGTGTGACACATATCACCAAACCAACTAGAGTGAATTCAGAGATATCAATGTTACAGATTCATCTTGAAGACATGAGGTATGATCTATAAATACTTACTCTTATGTTATACTGAGTCACAAATTAGTCTGAATTGCCACTTTTAATATGTTTTCCAACTCTATAGTGGAAAGAAGGGCCTTGTGAGCTATATTGGCACAAGAGTTAAAGAATTCATTCGAAGTGCTGAGGTCACAGAAGTTCATTTCCCTCTGATTGTGACAGCAAGAACACTTACCCAAAACATGCCCGAATCTGCTCATATTCCACCATTCTATTTTGTAACATCTCCTGGAAGCCGCCTAATTGTACATCCGTACAATGAAATGACCAGAACTATTATGAACAGGCACCCTACCACACCTATATGTTACACATCTTTTAGCTTATGTGGATTGTTTTCTAACAATTTCATGATCTAGCAAACAAACATTCTAGGTTCTTTTGGAACAGACTGCCCGTCGATATCATTAAATACAGCCCAGAAGAGCGTATTGAATACCTTCGGCGCAAAATTCCTCCCAGAATCTCATTGTTCGAGTTAAAGAACAAAGTTCCTCTAGGAGAAGCAGAAACTGAGGTAACTATTCTTGCCTCTAACATACTACTATACATTTGTCAACAAAAGTTTACGGATCACTAGAAATGTGTTTATGAATATTTCATGATTTAAACACTTTTTAGCAAGACTCCCTAATGCTCATGTATTCTTCTTTTCCTCACTATAAACTATTGACAGATACCTTATCGATGCAAACTGAAGATAGTTAGGTTCGACCATAATTATGGAATACGTACAGCTGTTCCTGGAGATACTGAGTATTCCCAAAATACCTCTACTCTTCTGTTTCTTTTTATTAAATTGTTTCCTTTTTTTTACATCCATCCAATCTTCATATGTGACAGATTATACTATGAACTACAAGCTGAATGTGAATATGGAAATTACACAACAAAAGTCATTCTTGATCATGAACCTGCTCTTGCTCTGATTCGCATGCCACCGCCCGAGTTCCAGGCAATGGCATATGAACAGCAAGTTAAGTTACTAAAAGAATGCTGCAACATCAAATTCATGGCAGAAATATATATAGTTGGAATAGAATCTTACGATGAACCGCATCTTCGCATTACTGCACTTTGGCATCCGAAAAGCGTTCCAACCACTAATGGAACTTAAATTGGATTTGTAGAATGTTGTTCTTGATGTGAGCTCTAAAAAGGTACATTTATTCAATTTTGACCTTTCAATTGCAGATGACTGGTCTTTTTCTTAACACAACTAAACACTTACATTAAATGACTAGCTTCCACTTCTATTGCTATTTCAGTTATTAGGACCCGGAAATGGAACAACTGGTTGATCGAGGAAGGTTCATGGGAACATAGAACTAAATGACATGCAATCCAATGTTCTTTTGTGCATTCTGTCTTTTGAGTACAAGAACATAGACATTCCTGGTTCTTAGTGTGCTTTTCGCTGTAAACAGAAACTTCTGCATATGCAGTGTGTTCCCATTCTATGCTTATTGCACTGTTGTAGTTGGTATCTTAATTAGGATAACATGTGCTTTGTAGTTTTCAGATGCTTTAGTGTTTTACATTTAAGGCAACTCATGAATAATGCACTAGAAAATGCATGCTCCTGCATGTTCCTATTTGATTCACCTTAATATTCCCCATATGCTCTTTTAGAGCATTATAATTTAGCCAATTCTTTGCGAACTGCGCCCAATAGATAATTTTTCCAGACTTAAGATTCTCAAGAATGAAAGATGTTGACAATTAAGATCAATACAGATTATGATATGGATTTTTTCCTGTTCATCCTTCATGTTACCACCAACTGAGATCTATTGCCATATGCCATGGTAACTTAGTTCTCCTGAGTGCTGCACAGTACCAACTGATTAATAATGCACGAATTCGCACTGCTAGAGAATATTAGAAAAAGCACCTAATTCAGCCTTTATGGTCGGTGTTGGCACGCAACAGTCTGAGATTTGGTCTCAGCTACTACAATGAAAGAACTAGCTACTCCTTATCGTTTATCTAATGGACCAGGCCCAACTTGCATAATGAACATATAAGTCCATTACTTCTTAAAATAAAATAATCAGACTAAACTAACTGTTTCACCACATTTGAACCTACCCAGTCACTCCACCCAAGGTCCTGATGAAACAACGCGGCATGGCCACCAGTTATGCCGTCGGATAGAAAATTATACCGTTTTGTTAGTCCCTCCTCAATCTCTACCCTATTTATAGA